AAGTTACTATTTACATATAAATTTCAATTATTCTTACTAATAACAGTGAACTTAAGAAAGGTGTATGGGTAACTTCGTAAAATGAATGGAAGATAGGGAGTGTTAAAAAATGGGAGATCGTTCATGAATGAATTCAAGATACCCCGGGTCCATGCCATTGCCATCTGTGCTAGGTTTCCCCGTTAAACTGTTATTTGTAATTACTAATCAAAATATACTCGCCTTTAAAGTATTTGTCACAGTCAGTTTCGGAGGTGTTATCTTTACAGTTGAGATTGTTCAGAGGACATTCACTTGATCCTGAAAAATTACCAAGCCTTTGTCAACCAAGTTTGATTGATTGATCAGTCGATCGATCGATCGATCAAACATTCATATTTATTTTTCTGCCTGTAACAGCTTAAGTTTATCGGTTTTGTAAGGACCATTGTGGGCTGTGGACCATTGTGTTTGCGTTTTGAAAACTAGGTTGAACAGTTTCAAATCTTTGTTATCAAAGGAAGACGTTTTGAAAGTGATATATAAAGTAGTTGCACAAGTTTTTACTGACCACAAATTGAAGGCAAGTGGGATCCATCTTGACAAACTGGAAGGTTGTCCCGGCGGCACGTTGAGGACCATGGAACGCATGCACCATCTGCGCATTGAAACAAGTTACCTGAGCACGAGGTCCCTGCAAATTGAACACGGTCTTTTGAAGTAGCCTGCCCCGTTTCACATCCTCTTTTATAAGTTACGTAAATTATCTTTGCAAAACGTAAAATGTCATCTACCATGATCGGATTGAAATGAACTTAGCATCGTAAAAAGTTGTTCAGTTCCAGATTTACATTTCGCCCGCTAAATATATTTCCATTTGACAATTGCGTCTCTCGTAGTGGTGACTCACTATATGCGATAATTTACGGTACTTCACTTTTGGAAATACAAATCATATTGTCCAATAAAGAGACCTTTTATTTATGATTAGTCTATAATATGTGTAATTTTAACACCATGAAAGTGCACGAATGACAGATTATAGCCAAATATATCCAAGACTTCATTGTACTCCTACCACAAAAGCGCTCATCTGTACCATCTGAGCAGTCATCTAATCCATTGCATAGTTTATCGGATGGAACACAACCCCCCGAAGAACATGGTAACTCTACTTTTAGGCAAGTGCAATCCTTCTCGTCTGAACCGTCAATACAGTTGATGTCATTGTCGCAGCGATGTGTGGAGCTCGTGCATTGACCATTATCACATTGAAACTCATTGGGACTACAACTAAAGTCTGTCAATGATAAAGAGCAGAAATTTTTACCTACAAACTTCAATATCATTCTGAATTACATCTTATAATACAGCAACTGTACCGGTACACCACATATAACGAGTACGGTTAATTTTGTAACAGGTCTCTTTAGTGTTCTTGGTCGTCTTGATGGTTCCATAAATTATCTCAGCTTAGCAATTCCTTGGCTTGTGATGTGTTTTCGATAAGTAAAATTTTTTGCTGAAAAAGATTTTTCTTTTACGTTTTGCTATTTACCTGGAGACGCGTAGGATGGAGTCGTTGCACATGCCTCGGTTGTAATTGCGATGTTGTCAACAAGTATGCTGGGAGTGCCGTTCACTGCACTGAGGCCTTGAAATACGATCTAGAACACAGAATATAAGAGAGACTAAGAAGAAATTAAGACTTAGTAAAGGCGAGTCAATATATAAGGCGACTAACTTGAATTTCCTCTTGTGGTCTTAAAGTGATCGTCCCACTGTTCCATTTGTTTCCTTGGTAACCACGCAGTTTCCAAATTAAAACTTTCTCTTGGGGTGTTTTAATGTAAACTTCCAATGAAGAGTCGAACCTCGTAGGAAGTTGGAAACTAAAACGGAGGCAAAACCCAACGTCCTTGTAAAATGGTTTCCATGGCAACAATGGACTCTCAACCAGCCCACTAAGTAGTTCGTTGACCATTCCCAGGCCACCTGCAATTAAAAGGAATGAACTCAAATGCATGTTGAAAGGGCTTGGACTGGCAGTAGTCACAGTGGCAGATTATGAGTCCGTTTTACCAGATATTTTCCATCCTTTGACTGTCCAATCTTCGACGTTTTCTGAGTTAAGCTGTGCAATTAAGGCCACTATAAGGAAAATTAAAACAAAGAAGAGTACAATCAAGTCACATGCATGTCTTTTTTTACCAGTCAATCGATATTTTGAAAATCAGCGGCATGTATCAGATCGAAATGTTGAACATACGACGTACCTTCGACCTTAACATCAACAATCCTTCTTTTTCCCTTCTCTACTCCTGAGTCGTTAGTGAAATAGTAAAAGATCTATTATGAATGAATTAAAGGTTTGTTATTAAGCAATTTAATAGTTTGTAATCGAAGTCTGATTTTGTGGGACAGTTTAGAGGGAGTACTTCAATATATTTACTTCCGGAAATTTTGACGGAATTCCTAAAAGGTTATGGATCGCGTTTGGCGCGGGCAGTACATATTTCTATTCACCCAGGAAGGGTGCATATTCTAAAACAACCAACTTACACGGCTAATGTTTGGGCTTCATTCCCAAAAATTTCCACTCTATTTTAAATGGTAATTACAAAACCCTATAGGTAACACAACAATTACTTACGTCTAATACTACAAAGTATTCGACTAGTAATACAATGGCAGCATTAGTAAAATGGCTCATGAAGTGGTCTAAAATCTAATGTCCATTGCAAAACTAAGCAAACACTGAATTCGCCTCAGCTGTAGTACATCAATCAACCAATCACAATTCCAGGAGACCCATCAGATATTTTGCTTTGTCTTGTGAAATAATAATATCCACTGTTAAAAAATCGATTGTTACCTCCATGGGGTGAATGCCAGGCTGAGCGATCACTTCAATGTCTTTCTCAAAAATATGTTCCGAGCATGTAAGCTTTACAGATGGGTTGACAAGGTATGTCTTACCAAAGGCGTGGAACTCAATTGTTAAGGGACAGTCTACCGGGCAGTACATACCCCGACAACAATATTTATAAGATGCTGCAAACAAAGAAAATATAAGTGTTTGATATATGTATTCCTTTAAAATAAATATGATGAATAACGGCGTCATGATGATTTAGCTGTTTAAAGTGTGCAAAACGTTATCCACTCCATAGATCACAATCCAGTATAAAGCACAGCTGGTTTTGTTTGCAAGCATTTATTGAAAGGCGATTAACTAACGAAGAAATAACTTAAAAGATCTTCAAATCAACAAAACATTCAACACTTGCCAGTGATACGAAGAGTAGATCCAAGAGCCATTTGTTTGGTAGTACCATCATTTGGGTGTTTCAGAGTGAAAGCCAAAACTCTTATTCCTGTTAAATAAAGCAACAGTTATGCCCACCAACTAACAATTACCTATCCAATTCATCACATACGAGAAATCGTAACTTCTTCTGTGTGCGAAAATTTACCCAGTGAATACCCAAGGCAGTTGAACACTATCAAAGAATGCCGAAGATCACTTGAAAGTCTACAACAATTCCGACTTATAAGTGACATAATGAAATATACTAGTCTACAAAACTTACCTAGCATTCTAACGTCCCTAGACTTCCGTAAAGCTTTTGATTCGATTAAATGGCCCTTTATAATGAAAACACTAGACCATTTTAATTTTGGTAGTGACATCAAGCGCTGGATTAAGATATTCTAAACGAGCACAGAAAGTGCGGTACAAAACAATGGTTTTATAACCAGTTGGTTTAAACCATCAAAAGGAGTTCGACAAGGTTGCCCACTCTCCCCTTATGTGTTTATTCTTTCTGCGGAGGTACTCTCAAATAAGATACGTCAGAATTCCAACGTGAGAGGAATCAAAGTCTTCGGTAAGGAAATCAAGCTGTCCCAATTCGCTGATGATACAACTCTATTCAATGCGGACATAGAATCTTTAG